CGCCACCTCGCGGACATTTCTTAAAATAATAAATAATTTTAATTGTAATTTTAAACTTTTTTATTTTGTGTATTTTTTTTTTTTTGGACCTTGCCTTTAGGCATCGCGACATGCTGATTAAGAATATATATGGTGTTGGGGGTGAGCTCTTACGGGGGGGAAAAAGATAGTCAGAAGGACAGACACAAAAACAGGCTCGCCCTTTATATAAGAGATATATATATATATATATGGCCCTCGTACACGCACGTAGCACTAGGGCGGGGATGCTGAATGGGAGAGCGGGAGGGAAGGGGGATGATTGAGTGGGAATGTGAGAGCGGGAGGAGAAAAACAGGGATGGACGAATCATGGCTGGATCTGGAGCAGCTCTAGAACTATAGTATAGAGTATAGTGTACAATACATCTCTGCCACAGGTGCACGCACGCACACACACACACACACACACACACACACACACACACACACACACACACACACACACACACACACACACACACAGTGTTAATTTTACATCAGCGTGTCGCGGAGCCGTCGTTGCACCTCGCGCTTTTCGTAACGGCATAGTTCGGCCGCGCGGCGGGCCCGCACCGCACACGCGTCTCTGCGGGATTTTTTCCCTGTAAGTCGCGCGTTCGGCGCGAACAAACAGATGCAGAAACGCAGGACAATAAAAAACATCTCTGGCGGAGGAAATGGTTGAATGCGCGCGTACCCGCGTACGGCATGCAGAGAGATGTATAGGAGAGAGAATGCAGGAGAAAGAGTCAGTGAAGCGGTAAGAGCGGAAGGTAGTGAGAAGCAGCGGAGAGGGATGAGTAAAAAAGGGAAGAAGCGGGGGGAGAAAGTAAAGGGAGGGAGGAGCAGGAGCGGGAAATGGGATGGCGGATGAAGAGGAAGAATATGAAAACGATGAAGAACCAGATGTCGGGGCAAAACGATGAGGAGGAGGCGGAAAAAAGGCAAAAAGAAAAGGAATTAAATGATAAAGGCGGAGATGGACGCAGAAAGAAGAAGCGCAGAGCGAGGTGGCAAGTGATACACGGAAAATGCGACGCGAGTTTCTCGCAGAGCTGCATGTGATGACATCGCTGTGCACACAGCGTCGACCGTATAGCTACGGTATAATGAAGCCGTGACGGCCAGCAATCAATCTGAAACCAAATAACGTTACGGCCGCATACGGAGTACGGACGACAAACACTGGCCGGCGGCCTATGTGCCACCCGCCGCCGCCGCCGACGCCGCAGATATTGGATTAAACTTTTATGCGCGTTGTATTGCCGCTAATTTAGCGGCGATAAACAACAGCTGACACGTATCACACGATGCGGTAAGCCACCGCGCTATCGCCAGCTCAGCTATACATATACAGGCACGTATAAACACGTACGGATACATACAGGTACGTACATACAGGTACGTACACATACAGGCACGTATAAACACGTACGGATACATACAGGTACGTACATACAGGTACGTATAC